GTGTGTGTGTGTGTGTGTGTGTGTGTGTGTGTGTGTGTGTGTGTTAATGATAACCTAATTTTATTGCCCCGGACTTAAAGATCTATGCCACCTGGAGAAACTACAGTTCATCCATTAGCATGTAAATGTGTTAAGAGTATTTCTGCTTCAATTTCTCCCGAGAAGCCTTCCGCCTTTGTTCTGTACAGACTCACAGTCCTGACGCTGTTCTTAATATCCTGTTTTCATTTGTCAGCGCTGTTGTCCTTTTCATTGCCATGTTCCCATCGTTCCTTTTCTTTCATGTGGTGCTTTACAATAACAATTCAGAACAAAAGAGTCACTCCTCTTTCTGTTGCCTTTAAAAAAAAAAAAAGAAAGAAAAGAAAAAAGACTTCTTCCCCTGACTGTAGAGCTTCAGTGATCAGGGGAAATGGTTAAAGCATGTTCTTCGTAATAGTTAACCAGGAGTTGTGAATAAAGGTTAGTTTTCCTTACTTTTTAAGATTGCAAGGCAGCTTCAGGGTATTGTGAACAAGAGGGTTTTGTGTGTGGCTGACTTTGAGGTTGAGAGAAAAAGAGATTTTCTTTGAGTAAAGGAGCCATCATATTTGAGAGAATTTCCCAAACTGCTCACACAATGGGAATCAGTTACTCTATAACATCGTCATTACCTCTATGAGTCACGAGACTAGCATTTGTTCTTGTCTTTGAACTTAAGCTTCCCAGTGTTCAGAGAACAATTGTGAAATGTCGCATTGCCATCATCAATAACTATTTTGCTCCTGGTGGATAATAATTGGGAAGGGGAGGCTGTGTACTTTCTCTGCCTTCTAGGAGAGTATCATATAAATAAAGTAAGAAAAAGTTTCCCCAAAGGCGAGCGTTTCTCCAGGGCACAATCTACTATGCTTGCTGCAGAAATCCCACTTGACTGGTCTGTCTTTCAGAGTATAGATCACTTGTGTCATTTTGCCCATTTTCAGGTAACCTTTTGCAGATATGAGCAGGCAGTTGTTATTTTTAAATAAACATTATCTACAGGTTTCTGTTTTTGCACTGAGGAAGGAATGTTTCTGTAATGCAGAAGGGCCACTATAACTGAGGGGTTTGTGAAGAGTGAATTCTATCCAGTCTCAAACAATTTTGAAAAGATGCTTTTGTATATGTATATGTGGACTTATGTATACATATACATTATATGTAACTACAAAAACTAATTCCATTATGGACATATATAGGACTTTATACAGACATATAAATAGTTCTGTGAATATACATAGAAATGCCTATCAAACTACAAATACATTTGAGGAAGCATTCAGGGACAGCAGTGTTAAATGCTTTTCATCTGTGGCTGATTTCACAGGAATTAGTAACTTCCATTTCTGCTACCACTGCACTGTTGGTCCACTCACCAGGAGGGTCGATTTAGACTTCTGCCAGGAGACCAGGTATAACTGGCTCTCACCATCTTCCTTCTCTGTCCAGGCTGCTATCATTGCCTTCAGAACCGAGTTCTTGCATGATGCCCGGTACAGCATAGACCTGGAAAACATCAGTCATTTTCAATATAATGTAAAATAGGTTCTGTGTGCCTTTAAAAGTAAATGTTTTATTTCTTAAACTGTAAAAGACATGAAATGTGTGAGACATTCAGAGAGTGGGAAGTTTCATCTGGAAGTTGTGAGTTTATGCCCTTTAGGAGATTATAATATTTTTTTGTTTGTTTACCATTTTGTTTTGAGGGGTGGAGTAAATATTTCTTTCCTGATATTTCAACTTGAGATGTTCAGGCTAATTTTCCACTACAGTGCCAAAATAGGGAAAAGTTAGGCCTGTAGAATTTTGACAATTTAAATGTTGTTTTAACAAAAGCCATGTCTTGATGAAAAGTTCTTTAGAATTCTACTTGATGATCTATGCGTGTCTCCTCCGAGGACAATGAGAACTTCTTAAGGAAGTCATCTATATGTGAAATTGAGTAATCCTTTTATTCATTGTTAAAAGACAAATGAAGTTATAACTTGGAGAGACATAAGCCAAAAAAATCTGTGTTTGCATTTTTATGTCCTAACATGTGAAGCATGCTTTGATTTACTGTGAAGTGTTGCAATGGCAATAAAGTAGACGTTGAGACGTGCAAACTGGGCAGCCTGAGGAAGCAATTCTTGCCTCTCCTTCCCCTTTATCATGAATGTTCCTTAAACACCTTTGGTGGAGTCCAAATGTCTGGATTATGAATTGAATTGTACATTATTCTTTTTTTAAACACTTTCCTGATGATTTACTTTAGTTGCAGTTTCTTGTCTTACATAGTGATAAGCAACATCCTTCAAAGAACTGCAGTGCAGGACTTTTTTTTTTTTTTTTTTTTTTTGCTTTTAGGAAGACTATTTCCCCTCCTTCCTTTAGTCAATCAAATTTTAAATTTTAAAATCAAATTTTACTTTCCATTCTCAATTCACCCTTTCTTTGCCATTCTGGGGACTGAAATTTTAGACGCTTGTCAGAGATTTGCTATTATATATATACTGTGTATATAATATTCAACATATGTATACACATATGATGATTTTTATATATGTTTGTACATAATATATGTATACATGTTTGTGTATGTGAAACCTGTGTGTATATACATATATATGTATATTTCATATGTACATATATTTTGTTTATCAGGATGATAGATTGCTATTTAGGTCACTATTTTTAGAAGAAATAAATGACTGTTTTATTGTTTCTATACTGGAGATTGTTGTTGCTGATGTA